GTTTTACAAGTTCTTGGTCAGAAATCAGAATCCAAATCTCCACTAGATCAAACATAACAATGATTCACCAACAAATACATATTCAAACTCAAACAATTTCGTGTAAAAGACCAGAATTGAAACCAACAAACGACACATTATTCACAGTGGAAGGTCTAAATTCAAGAGGAACATTCCAGGCATTGAGATTATCATCTGTCCATTTCAAGTCAACATTCTCAACGCTAAAGCCTTTCACATGTTCCATAATAATCCCAGCCGTGGCGCTATGGTTGACTAGACCTTGACATCCAGGTCTATAATCCACAAGCCCTGCACTGTAATTACTCCATCTTCTGAGAGTAAGGTTCATGTTCTTGAACTTTATGTCTGAGAGTAACCCGTTTGGAGAACCCGATAAAAATACTCCGTTTTCGGAATCGATTGTTATGTTTACGAATAGGAGATTCGAGACTGAGCCTTCCTTTGAAGATGAGTCACGCGGGCAAGTTGTTATGTAGATAGGTTCAGCTCTTCCCCACCACGAAGGATCGTAGTATCGTGTACTAATGTTTATATTCGAAAACGTAATGTCACTCACATTTCCTGCACAAAAAGGGCGCATTTTGGGGTTACATTACATGAGTTTTTGTGTTCTATACAGCCAAAGATGAAACCTTTTTATACCTCCATCGCGTATTTGCATGCCAAGGCCTCTGTGAGACTCGAAAATAGTGATGTTATCAAAGACAAGACCTTTGAAATCGAACCAGCTCGCACTACCAAGTTTAATGGCCGAGGATTTAGTCCGGATCCAGCAGTCTGTAGCGGTTAAATTGTAGAGTGGAGCAGTGTAAGTCTTGGGACAGATTGCGTCATCTCCTGTGTCGATGTGACACCGAGTTATGACAGTGTTGTTAGAATCTTCAATGTCGATGCCATCGTTATTCGGAGTGTTGAATTCCCCTAGAATCGTTACGTCGTGGACTGATGTGTTCTCGCACCTCACGATGTGCAAACTGCAAACCAAACCAAAACAGAGGTTTAGGCATCTTGAGATTACTGTAAAATGGTAAAGCAGGAGTAACGTGTAGATTACATGAGCAGATTCTGCAATCGAGCAATCATTCACTGACTAATTCTACATTTTGTTTGAATCTGGGTTCCTAAGAATTCTTGATCTCTAATCAGTCAATAAGCAAGAGAAGAGCAGGATTAAGAACTAACCACCAATACGCAGGCTCTCGAAGCGTGATGTTCCAGATTTCAACATTCCTGCAATCAACGAATCCAACAAGCCTAGGTCTACACTCATCACCCAAGCAAGCCCCAGTCTGATTCCAGCTCACCATCACGTTCTTCTTCTCGTCGAATCTCACCACGAACTTCGATCCCTGCCCGTCGATTGCTCCTCCGCCAGTGATTCCAACGTCCGTCGCGTTGTTCGCCACCACTACGTACCAATCAGACGAAGACTCCGCCGGATAATCTTCAATCCTCGGTCCCCCGAGAAGCACGGCGTTCTCCGTCACATCGAGGAGGACGCCAGATCGGAGATGGAGTTTGGCGGTCAAATAAGTGCCGGGAGGAAACGTGACGCGGCAGATGGAGGAGGATGATGTGTAGTGACGATTGCAGGCGTCGATTGCGGACTGTATCGCGGAGGAGTCGTAGTGGATTCCATCGCCGGTAGCGCCGAAATCGGTGACGGAGAGGGACAATGAGTCGCCGGGAAGTTTGATGTTTGGAGATGACGTGTACGAACGTGATTGGAAGAGGAATAATAGAAGGATCAATGAGATGCTTCGCATCAGTAGCGGAAAGCCCATTTTGCGAATCTTGAGGTCTCTAGTCTTTATCCAATCATGGACTTTATTGGAGCTATGATGCTAATCGTTTAATTTATTAAACTAAGCCGGTCTTATTTCATGCTTTGCTTACGTAACTCTTTTTTTGTTTTTTGCTAAATGCTTACTTAACTCTTGTTCAATCAAAATATCTGCCAAGTATTTTCAACTTGGTTGACTGCGCTAAACTACCTCAAATTAATAATGACTTAATTAAAAATGTTTTAGAGTTCTGTGTTTTATTTTTAATGATCATAGGATGCGAATCATTGGTGTATTGCTTGAAACAGATGTGAATGTTACAACTTACAAGAGATTTTGCACCAATTGTCTCCGTAAGATCTCTTTTATAAAGGAACCATGTTTTTTTTTTCATCTGTTAACAAACTTTACATTTATTATAATCGAATCCATTTTCTATCGGATGCGTTAATTTAGGTATTAAAATTGCCAAGTTTACATATTTGTTTTGGTCTCTGCAATTACGTGTGTATTAAGGGAAAATGTAACTTTTCATTTTTATTGCTATTTGTGTAAAATTAGGAATATTTTCAATTTAATCGATTACCCATTTTCGAAATTGCTAATTTCAAATGATCATAAGTATTCTACTCATCACTTGCAGTACAGACATATCCTATATTCTACATTGTAAGAATCTGGTAAAAATAATAAATAATCATGTACCAGTTTTGTCACTCTGAACCAAATGACTGATACCTTCTTAACAGATATCTAATTCTTATATATATTTATAATTATTATATCTAAATAGAGAGACAAGCTTATACGATATATATACAGATTCATGATCTACTGTTTTTCCCAACTTACAGCTCCATTTTGACCTGATTTGGGTGCAAATGAGCAGGACCCACCATTAAATTTTCAGAAACCGCCATCAAATTGTTGTGGTCATTGCCATGATCTTGATCCTCTTCTCTTCCCCAAGCCGGCTGGTTCAAGCCATCGAAAGGCCATTGTTGCGGTGGTGGTGGTTGCAGTTGCCGGTGATGATAGGAGTGTTCAGCCTCAATGGCTTGATGAGGCCAAGCAAGCTGCATTGCTGTCCCGTTGAAGCTCCCATCCATTAAAGAACCGTTCTGTTGGGAAAAGAAAAAGAAAAAAAAAAACAAGCCAGACCCGGAAAAGATATCAGCTCAGGATCATTCATTCATGAAGATCTTGATCTAGTCAAAGAAGTCAACTATTGTTGCTGTGTTATTATTATCCTAAAAGAACAAGGTTTAATGAGAGGGACCCTGGCTATTTAATGGTATGTACAAGCTGTAAGAAGAAAGAGAGAGCATTTATTTTCTTTGGTCCAAAAGATTTTGATGAGAAAAAATTATACTCCAGTTTCGTATGGTAGATAGAATCCACAGGTGATTATGAGATTAGATAGGTCAAAAGAAAAACTTTGAAACAACAAGATGTTGGAAGAGACCCACAGAAATTATTGAAGAATAAAATAAATTTTCTTTTTAAAAATAGTTCACCAAAGCTCATCAATATACACATCCGACATGAGTCACAGAAGACACAGAAAGGTTTACAGAACAAAGGTGGTCCGAGTTTTGACCCACTAAGCTGTTTTTGTACTGTGATTTGCACGGTGTGTGTGTGTGTGTTGTGTATTTATTTTCCCTGAGTTTCCTTCATAAGAGTAGACGTTGCTCTTCCTAAGCCGTACTCTAAAATGGTCTAAATTAATGTTTGTAACTTTGTATACCCAAAAGTTTCTCAAAAAAGACGCATAGTTTCTCAAAAGTAGAAGCTGCTAAAAAGAGGTATAGTGTCCTATGTTTTAGTCAAACGAGCAACACATGGACCAGGTTTTTTTCTATAGTAGAGTAATCAGAAGAACCAAGTATAGTGTGAGATTAGGTACTTACTTCTGAAGCCAATATTGTGTCGAGATTGAAGTCGATTCTGGGGTTTACCGCAGCAAGTCTCATTGATAGCATCTGTGGAAACACAAGTCACAGTTTTCATGAGACTGTGGCACACAATTCTATTCATTTTCAAACTGTTCTGAGTTGACCCTTTGGCTATGTCTTTTAAGGCTATTGTACAATATAGGTATAAAGAACAAAACTGGACCACGGAAAGTCTCACCTCCACTTGACGTTGTAAAGACTGGACATGGTTAATGATTTCATCCAGCACCAACGCGGTACCTTGAATCTGCAGGTCAAAGACTTTCTGGTAAGCTTATGATTCATTTGCTTTTACAAAGCAACAAGAGTTCCTAAGAAGCTACCTATTTGTTAAGAGTTTTTGATATTTCAAAGAGAATACACAAAGATTCCAAAACACACAATGAAAGAAATAGAAAGAGGATGACCCTTTAGTCTAAAGCTAACATAAATGGCATCTACAATCACAATGATAAAGCTTCAAAGTACTACTCTAGTGGTTCATGGAACAATCAATCAAGTCCTCACAGCTCACCTAAAGAAAACAATTTTTTTTACAAACACTGATGTTTCATATCATCATCTCCATCTCACCAATAATTGCTGCTAACTTCTAACATCAGGGATGAATAGATTAAATTAGTTGTCTGGGGGAGTGTCACATCATGTTTCCAACTAATTAGGTATGTGGGACTCAAAGAAATATCAATTTTTGTAAAGGATCCATTGCTTTAATCGTCCTTCTAAGAGTCATTGTCTTTTTTCCTTGATAGATACCGAACTTATTAGAGACGACACAACCCCTTCTTCACCTTCCATAGAAAGCTTGCAACTTTTTTCCCACTTATCATCAAAATATGGACCCCAAAACACACTTTGATCTTGATCTTTCCACCAAAATCTGTCCCCTAAACCCAAAACCTTAATGGCACATTACAGCTAGCATCCCCACTTCCTAAGGTCATTCTCGTCATTTATAGATTAATCCCTCAAGCTCAATGAACACACTTTGAGAAGAGGAAAAAAGAATTCGATAAAGCTTATACCCAATCAATTCCGTGTGACTAGTTTAACCTTAAAGCTAAGTGTACCCGTGAGATATTTCTCCCCACACGGAAATAATAAAGTTTAGATCTTTAAGGCATTACACAATTAACCAACTGGCCACTTTGGCACACCAGAAACCACTTTTCTTCATAAAAAAAAAAGCGAGTAAGCAATCCACTTTTTGGGGAAGAAAAAGAAGTGTGAAGGATTAAGACCCTTAAACAAAGACTAAATCATCAAAATTTTATATTCTTACTTTTTGGGTGAATCAATTTAAGGAAAAAATTCTGTCGTTAAGCACAAATGAAGACCTAATGATTGATTACCATATTGATCACACGTCAATATCTGTGAGACAAACCTTATCACAGCCAGGGACCAGCTCCTGTAGCAGCTTCATTCGTGCGTTAATCTTCTCCCTTCTTGCCTATAATCCAAAATTAGTGATGAATTAGTGCATCATCAACTGATTAAGACCAAAAAGAGAAATTTGTGAAATCTATGAAATGAAAGTTACTCGTTCTGCTAAGCTATGGCTATCGGTTGCTTGACCACGGCGAGCTCTAACGTGAACATAAGGTAGCTTCTCGGTCTCTTCAGAGCTTTTGTTCTTCTTCGTCGAGCTTTTAACCTAGAAATTTAGGGATTCATCAAATCACTGACTTGCTTAGCAATCTGACGAAACGAAGAACCGAATACAATACCGATTTGTTTCTCACCTTCTTCTCGAATTCTTTCCTCTTGCCAGATCGATTGTTCTGGCTAGGGCACGGGCTTTGATTCTCCACCGCTTGATCAGAAACCAACCGCTGAGATGAATCGGTCTCAGCAGGCTCAGTCTTGACTCTGTCCAGATTTGCGCTGGAATTGGAAGGCACTGAGCTCGTCGTAGTCTCGCCGGAGACATTTCCGTTTTGTTGCTCAGTGGCAATCACCGAAAAACGAGCTGCTCGCTCCATGAGAACCGAGTTAGAAGGGAAAGCCAATGTCCCGAAAGAGTGAAGCGGTGGAGCGATATCAACACCGATTCCGGTGACGGCCGCCTGAGAAGACGATGAATCAGTGAAATGAAGAAGCTCCACGGCTTGGGTAGGCGGAAGCTCGAGCAACGCCGTGAACCCACCGGCGTTCTCAGGAGGAAGCGTCACTAGTTGCCGAAATTCGTCGCCGAGATGAAGCGATTCAAGCCCTGTTGCTTCCCGGCACGGCCCACCGCCGCCGGATCTAGCTCCAACTCCTCCAGTCAGATCCATAAACGGAGCTCACGGGAAAACTCTTACAACTCAAACCAATATCCGAAACCAAATTCAAGAAAAATCCCGTCGCCGTGTGATTCAATGTTTGTGAGTTTGGAATCTGATTTCTCAGGCGAACCTCCAAATATAGATAGATAGAGAGAGAGAGAGAGAGAGACTTGAGTAGAAGAGAATTTGACTTTTGTCAGTAAGCGAGCATATCGCGGCGAAAACAGGTAGAGAAATTAACGCGAAGAAGGTGCATCAATGGCGGTCAAAGAGTCTGATATCCCTCTCTCAGAGAACTTCCCGAAGAAGGTATTGTTGTTTGAAAGAGACTCTCTTTCTCTGTCTAGTGAGAGAGAAGAAAAGCTTTACTCCATAGCCATTTGGAGTAGGACGAAAGCAACGTTAGCTGTGGAGTGCGTCTGTTAAATAAAGAGGGCACTCTTAGAGAGAGAATCCAATTTTGGTTATTGTACGGTACGGTCTTTTTTTTTTAAATCTGTACAATTTTTTTTTCCTGGATCCCAATGGATATTAGTTGGGCCTTTTGGGCTTTATCCGGTGACTCTTTTTTTTTTACCCCTGGTTATTAATTTTCTTTATTTTAAATGTATAATTATTGTATACTGTAGTATTATTGTCAAAAATAATTCATTTGGGCGTACCAGATAACGGCACATATTTATTAATCCAATTGGTAGATTTGATTTATTCTTCCGCAGGACCAGCCTGCTGTCTCTGACCTCCTTTTTCTATTTTTTTTTATAAAATAAGTTTGAATAAATAAATAATGCTTCGTATATTATTATCAGTAGTTAATGCCATAAATGGGGTTATATCAGCTTCTGACTTTTCACGGACTCCGATTTCGGTGTGAACAAAAATGTTAATATAAAAATCGTAATTTTAGAGTTTTGTTGACTTGTTATATCGGAAAATAATTTCACAGTAAATAAGTCTTACTGTTTTTAGCTAGCATATAGCACCAGTTAAAACTTTAAAAACTGTAATTATCTCACCTGTCGGATGGATGCCACGAGATTTGGCCTGAGTGAATTATCAAAGAATGGAAAACTTTCAATCTCTTTTTGGAAACATTATGGAAAATAGGACGATTTATTAATATCACTTCAATTGCATTGATAATATTATGGGCTTGTAATAAAAATATTAAAAAAAAAAAGTAAACCGGACTTAAAAAGCGGACAAGCTTTATTTTGAGCAAAATTCAACAATTAAATTCCTAAAGATTTTTAAAAAAAAAAAAATTCCTAAAGATTAATTGATATTCAAAATAAAAGGTTATTTTATTATTGGGGGATAGGAAGGAAAGTTATGGACAATAAACAGGTGGGTCCCGTTTGAGCCGTGGAATATTCTGTTTCACACAATGGGCCGAACAGAAAAATCAACTTCTACTTAAGCCCAAAGGCCCCCAAACTTAAATTCCATTTCATTGCAAAATCATCACTTAATTATGATTAGTCTTCATGTTCGATTTGAAAGAGAGAACAAAATGAAATAAAAGTTTACCAAAATTTCTTTAAAAGTTCCGAATTTAACTATACGAATCCCTTATCTATTTAGATTTGAGCAAACTTTCAATTTTCTAAGATAAATAACGCAATTACGTTTAACAGGTTAAAAATCTTAGATTGGTGTTCAAATTCGCAGCACCTGAAGTCATGGCGACGATTCAATATTTCAAACATTCAACATTTTTACATAAAAAAATTTAAAAAGCTAAAAAATACAGCATTCACAATTTAAAACCAATAATCGTATCAACATTGGAGCAAAAAACACTAACCTTATATAAATCTTACCGACATATCCTCTCATAAAAATCCAGAAGAAGATAGCATTATGGTAAATATCTATAAGAATTAGACCCAAAAAAATATCTATAAGAAGAGAAAAAATAACATTGTAATATTGGTTAAGGGTTTACGATTTTAAATCGATTTGTATCACCTATTGGTGCGTAAGGTTTGGTGTAGTAGTAAAGTCTCAATCAAAGAGGAAGGTACAATCAATTTTGGCATTTCCAATTTGGCAACGTTACTTACTCTCCCAACGTCCAATGCTTCTTTAGAGTTGAGAAATTGATGTGTAGAGCTCGTAGCCAATTCTTTACCCAACCAAATACGTACGTACAATACAAATATATATTTTAATTTATACACATTCACATTTTAATCTGTTAATAACTCATATATATATAAGATATATTGAAGTATGCGGCTCCTTTCCCGTTTTAATATATATAATTAAATTACTAGAGTCAAACCGACTATGAAATATGTATAACATCTTCATCAATAGAGAGATTTAGGCGGGGATTGGTCACTAAAGTTTTAAAATGCATATTTCTCGAAACATAATTATCCATAACATGCAAAAAAAAAATTATCAGCATAAGCATAATTCATTTTAAGCTGATGTATCTTTTTTAATATCATACCATTAAATCTTTATCAAAAATATCATTTTCTACTATTGCAGAAAAAACGTCATGTTTTTTTGGATAACACTCTCTTAACATATCGCATTGATCGTGATGAATTTAGAATGATGGATATGGGCGAGACCACAAAGATTTGGGGAAAACTAAAAATTTGCTGATGAATAAATAAATATATTTATAAATATTAGATCATTAGTTTATAAGTGGGCCTGGATCAGCGTGCAAGCCACGTGACTCTGCCCCAGTAAGCATCTCTCCGGAGTGGAGTGGTGTGTGGGATTCCCTTCTTCCCATATACATAATGTATCTCAATCAAATTGTTCTTCCTTATGTGTTTTAAGGAAGAGGTATTTTTTGTTATTTGGTGAAAAATAGTTTTAATTCTGTATAACTTACATTACTCGACAGCTGTTATAGATCTGATATGCATGGGAACCACACAACAACATACATGAACCTCTTTTCTCTTCTAAACGAAAATTTTCCTTATGGGTGCATAATTCTTTTCGAGTCGAATACTAGAGCATATTAGTTTTGTCTTATCCCCATATGGTGAATAATATATCTTGTTCCAAAAACTGATGAAAAAGCAAGCTGTGGATTTTGTGTTTCGTTAATAACATGCTAATATAGGGATTTTTTTCTTGGGTAAAATTTTAAATAAAATATATATGAATTAATTTAATATTGGGACTCAAAATTTAGGTGATGATCCAGTTACAATACTATTTTTTATTGAAATTTAATTTTTTTGAATAACAAAATAAATAAAGAATTTAAAGAATCAAAGTCAAAAGTAGCTAAAAACAATTAGGCATGATAAATGTTATAAAGACGACCATAAAAGACCACAAGGAAATTTAATTAAACGAAGCTCAACGATTGTTTTACTTCGAACCATCTTTAGCGAGTATCTTTGTGAACACCTTTGAACCATCTTTAGCGAATTAAAAAAAAAAGGATTTAGTTGTGTTTAGATAGATTTGCAATATATTTAAAACGCATCAAACACCATGGACGCATTTCAGTTTAGCTCCCTAACCAAAAAAAAAAAAATTCCGTATGCTAAATTTAGTAACCCCGAACACTCTAATTTTTCAATATATATTTCAAATGTTTCCGAGAAAGATACAGTGCCGTGCCTTTTTTATTCAGAAAAGACATTTGCTTTAGGCCACTAACAAAATTTCAAAAATTAAAGACCATATCTTTATAACAAGTAGTTTAATTAGTAGATTGAATTTATTTTTATATGTAGTTTTAACCATTATAAGTAGATTATATGATTTAATTTTAAGATTTTAAACAAAATATCATACACTTACATCTATATATTTATATCATTATACTAATATATACATAAAATAAAATAAATGACTAAATTTTTATTTTAAAATAGAATTTAGCTTATAATGATACGTAAAATTATTTATAAAAAAGTTTAAACAAAAAAAATATAAAGATATAAAGTTTACCTTATGCTTCTATAAGTCTAGGCACTGAGAAGATACCTCTATATAAGTTTTCTACGGTAAACGTTTACACACGTAGGATCTGTCATACCTATACTATATCATGGCACAATGATCAAGACTGATATAGTGATATGTAATTTAGAAAGTACGTTATAGATAAACGAGTGACGCAAATCGAAACACTTCTAGCAATCATTGTTCACATGATAGATAATTTCGTTGGACTCAGCCGATTTTCTTATAACAGCAGTCTGTACATTGAAGTTTTGAGATTGAAACTCTACTTACTAGCTAATGCATTAATTAATTAATTGTACGTACTTTTTCAGCATTAACTTGTGTGAGCATTTAATATGCAAAGACAGTTTGTAAGTTCTGTCTAATCAACAACAAAAAATTAATTGATTGTTTGCGACGGAGTGTCACTAAAAATCTTAACCTACGACTTCAAAAATCACAAAGGCGCTTCACATCATTTTCTTTTATCACATAATTCTAATTATCCTATGGGTGTAATTATAAAGTTGCTGATTTTCTTGTTCGTAGTGTAGTGTTTGTATTAGACATGTGGTGTTTTCATTTGTGCGCATTTATTTGCTCGATTAGTTAACTGCGGATGTACGTAAACCATATTTTTCTCTAGTCAACTAAAAATAATTATTTTGGTAACAAAACGTAAATGAAAGAAAATTAATTTGGATCAACATTTACCTTATACATTCAGTAAAATAAAACACCATGTAAATGTAGTAACAATGATGATATAAAGCTGCGCAGATCGGCAGATCTCGATTAGAAGCTAGAACATATCTTATTACAAAAACAAAAAAAAAAACCTTAAAATGATAACTGGAAGAAATTTTTGATGATATAAATATTCGCAGATATCGACCAGAACATACGATGGGCCCAGAAGACAAGGACCAAACAATGTGGGCTCATAAGATAAGGACCCAAAAATGACTTGTGATAAAGTTTGGGCCGACAAAAAAACCCTCGAAGCTCGAGATAATCTCCTGTGAAACCCGAAGGCCACAAGAGGTAATGATGGGTCCCACTGAACAAGTTGCACGACCAGTGATGTGTTGGGTCTAAATGGGCCGTGAAAATGAGACATCTAAATGGGCCCAGCTCATTCATTGCTTGCCAGAGTCCTTTGTGTTTGTACCATAAACGGCAAGCTGTTCGCGGTACACTGACTGCAATTCTTGCCGGTTTTAGGAAAAGGTTTTGCCGATTTTAGGAAAAGGTTTCTGACACGATAAACTTTTTGTTGGGTTCCAAGATATCAAAACTACGGACGAAAAACATAGGTTTATTTTAAAAAATAGCACTGTAGTATTAGTAGTATTCTACAAGAAAAACTGTAACTAAAGTTCAGTAGACGTTATGATTATACTTATACATCAGCTAAAATAATTATATCTTTTTAGAAAAAATTACCTGTTAGTTTTTTTTAAAAAAAATCGATTAATCGGAATACTAATGGTGTTATATGTGAAAAACATAAGCAGAGCTGTGTCTTTTTCTTTTTTTCGTGGAGATCCAAATTCCTTAAGAAAAGTTGATTATTTTTGAAAAAGCCCCTGGTCTTTTTGTAGGAAGTTAGAAAGGATTTGATTTGAACCAAATAAAGAATAATATTAATTCTTAAATATGCACTTATTTTTCTTTCTTCTGAAGATTTTCTTTACCGAGGAGAGGAAAATTCAAAACTCCTTCGAGAGTGCACATCCCAAGTCCCAACCAGGCAAACCATGATTGTATATGTTTGTACAAACCTATTGGAAAAATGTTTTCATGCAAAGAGAACGCTCTTTATTTGAACATATAATGGGCTTGGGTTTTAGTAAATTGAAACAGAACCTAGCCCAGATATTCGGCCCAATTAAGCCCAATAGGTGCCGCTAAACGGCAACATTTAGTGATTAGATTGAGTAAAGCGATGGTTGTTCAGTGAGTGCAACAGACGATGCTTCTCGCGTCTTTCGGCTCGTCC